ACTATTCAGAAGTGTTTTATAAACTCTAATGTTTTAGGCCAGTCATGATGAAAAGCAGAGAAATTATTTGCAGTATGTGAGCCTGCTGTTTTTTCTATCAGTGGAACCACAATCATGTAAAGCTGATAATGTAATAAGGGAAACCATTCAAAGAACTCATGAATGGCATAACAGGGTTCTTGCAGGTTTCAGTAAGTTAAATTTAAGTCCTTTTTAAGACCTTTTAAGACCATTATGAGTAAAATTTAAGACCAACACGATGCATTACTAGAAACATTCGAATGATACCAGAAATTCTCATATTTTATGTCACTCATATCCTTAGCCCAACATCCACATATGTTTACAAAGTGCGTTTTAATAAGTTCACATGTGTTTAAAGCTTGTGGGAGTGGTATTTTAAAGCTTAAACAATAAAAAAGTTTATGTATATGGTCTTTCTATATCGCGGATTTTCACCTATCGCTGATAGGTCTGGAACGTAACTTCCGCGATAGGCGGGGTATCCAGACCCATCAGCCATAGGTGAAAATCAAGCGATATAGAAAGACCATAAACATAAACTTTATAGTTTAAGCCTTAAAATATATAGTGATCCCCCGCCTATCGCGGAAGTTACGTTCCAGACCCATCAGTGATAATGAAAACAACTGGAAACAGCTGGTAAACACGGAGAATCCACACAGGGTTAACGAGGGGGCGTGGCACACGGGAGGAGCGGACGAGCGGGGCAGGACATACTGCACTTTTAATCAGATTTTTTAGATTTTCTAAGCAATTTTTATTCAAATAAGTTTTTTTTTCCCCCATCTCTATTTTGCTTTTTTGTCTTGGTTTAACTTTTTAAAATCTTGTTTTTATAAAGCACATTAAATAACCCTTGTGCATGATAATAAAAACTTTCCTTACCATAAGGAGATTGAGAAACATTCTCCTCAAGACCACACGAACAACTAAAATATATATGCTGGAAACTAAGACATTCACAAGGTAACTCCATGAAAAGCTCTGTAAAAGTAGAAATGTGTTTATTTTATAAGATAACGTGAGCCAACTGGCTAGTAGTTGCCTTTTAACTGAAAAAATTCACTCCAGTCATCAGAGAAAAAAGTTACTAACGCACTACATCCTCAAGAACTAAGTTAGCGCTTGATTCCCCTGCACTTCCTGTTGTGGCTGAGCGTGCACCTAACGTCAGTGGCTGAAAGTGCACGTTCTGCAGCCAGACCTATCTCAAACTGTTGTTTGCTTGCCTAGCTGCAGTGATCACGCAATGGGATTTGTAGTTTTATTACCACGCAGACACCGGGGCAAACCAGAAAATGCAACCAACAGATTAGTTTTACAGCGTTTTACTATTTTATTTTCTGCGGACAATACTTTTTGGGAATGAACGGAGGTAAGAATTTTAAGACTTGGGTAAATTAAATTGAAGACCTAGGATGAAAATCTGGGCATTTTAAAGACACTTTAAGGCCTTAAAATTTAACTTTCTGAATTTTAGACTTTTTAAGGTTTTTTTAAGACCCTGCGGGAACCCTGCATAAAAACGGCAGTTAACATTACACCAGTTTGACTTGCCAGAGCTTGCAAGGAGAACTAAGCATGTGAAACCTAAAACGGAAATCATGCTCATGATTCTAATAACGTCTACTGGAATGAGCAATTCACTGTGCAGCAGTGGTTGTGTCCAAATTCAGGGGCTGCATCCTTCAAAAGGTTTGCACAATGAATCTTAGAATTTTGGAAAAAGAATAACTAATTTCTAGCCGGATTTTAAAGGTGCTTTTGAAAGGGAACAGCCTTGTGGTGCTGTTGTGAAACATTTGATCTTCAAATGCAGCCTTAGAAGGACGCAGCACCTGAATTCGGACACAGCAAGTGTGTGCTCGTATGTGAGAAAACCACTTTTGTAATTAATATAGCATAATAGAATAATGACAAACTGACACCTTGTGTTCTGAAGATTTCCAAGGTAGCATTGTACTCTCAAATCGTCTATTCAAAAATAAAATAAGTTCAGTGTACAACCAATACAATATTTTATTTTACCGACTGCAGCTTATTTTATTAACACGTATTCTGATTTCAAGAGGACTAGGAAAAATGAGAAAGTACCACCGTGGTGTAAAAAAAAAAAAAATACATCTCGTTTTAAAATTGAGCCCGAACATAGATTCTTTACTTTGAAACAAAGCAGACAAAGACCAGGCAGAAATGCTTTCAATTTCAAGACCAGAACAAGTAAGTGAAAAAGCAGTCTTGAGACCAATAGTGGGCTCAACTACTACAACACTACTTATCACAGCATTAACTTAAGGAGGACGAAACCAAGAATAAATATAATTCAAGTGACATCATAATTAACATTAATCATTGTTACATTGATAAAAAGCTGAATTATTGGTCACCTCCATCCTTACTGCATAAGTGGCTAAGAATTAAAGATGTGGCAAGAGACCTGGAGACTGAGGAGGCAGAAAGTAGGGCATACTAGAGACAGCATGATAAAGACACTCAAAAAGCTACTTAGCACAAGTGGTTCATTTTTAGATTAATGAATCTTAAAGCAAAACAGCACAGCTAAGCAGGAAATTAAATAATCAATAAAGTACTGCCTTGGCATTTCACATCGTAATCAATAATGGGGAAACAGCACTCAGTTGCCGTAAGCAATTAGGAGGATTACAAAAGCAGGAAATTTCATATAATGTTTCAATGGCACAAATGGTTCAAATAGGAAATTTGGGCATAGGTCCCACCTACACAATATTACTTTTCAGATCATTTACATATTTAAATACAAGTATACATTGTTATTAAAAGTGCACTATGTAGAACACACTCATTCATGAATGCGTTACACAATACAGGGCTGTTTTCAAATGGCCAGTAAAAATGCAGTGAAAGCATGAATGATTTGCAGAAAAGCCAAGGGCAAGGAACAAGCCCCTCTTTTTACTTATAACCAATAATAAAAGAATAAACACCCTAATGAATAAATGATCAATTTGGAAGATATTAAATGCACTGAAGACAGTATTAAATATGTCCATTCAGGCAGTCAAAATTAGGTACTTATGTATTTTACACTTTTCTAATAGATGGGGTTTCATTTGAATGCCACTTCTGTTACAGTCTTACAATGTGTTGTAAAGTATTGCACAGCTCTTGCTGCAATGCTAACCTACAGTTTCCCTGAACATTCCTTGTAAGCTCATCCTAGCTGCACTTATGCCTAGTTGGCTCCTTGACAGATGCTTCTGATGCATTATCTACCAGACATCTACTACAGACAAAAGCATCTGCTAAACAAAGATACAAATGATGATAACTGATGCTTCGTTTTGAGCCATTATTGGTTGATACCAATTCTGGGGCTAGCATATTAGTCCATCCCTAGAGAATGGCAGTGTGCATGTCACAGTATGGCAATCTCAGTCTAGAGAAATGAAGCAGAACGGTAGTAAAATGTATGGCACAAATTTTCTTTCATACACTCATGGGTTTATATAAGCGTTTCCTAACCCAGTCCTTAGGGACCCACAGACCGTCCACATTTCTGCTCCCTCCCCGCTGCCAGTAGGAGGCTGGGAGAAAATAAAAATGTGCACTGGATGTACGCAATACACAAATACATATGTATGTCATGTTTATTTGCGCTGCTATGACAAGAAATCCATGCATTTTACCCTTTATGAAATAAATTACCCTAATGAAATATGAATTACTATATAAAGGTTAAAATGCAAGATAATTTCTTGTCATATCAGCACAAATGCACATAAGTACAAATTTGCGCTGTTACAACAATCGATTGCCACATAAATCGCTTTAAAGGTGAATGCGTGATTGCATACCAGATATGTGCATCCCTGTTTATAACTGTACACATTATTATTTATTTATTATATATATATAATGTTTAACAGAGAAGGGCTGGCCATCAAGTGAGAAACTAATTTTGCTTGCATTACTGATGGTCTAGTGTTATTTGGCAGTATTGCAACCATCTCTTTTGGAACAGATTTGTTTTTCAGAAACTCTTCATACACTGTCTTGCCTTATGGTGAGCAATCAAATTTGTTGTGTTAAAATGTTTATTAGTAGATCGCCCTTGTGGAATTTTAGCAGAGCAATGTTTGCAAAATGCATTTCTAGCGTTGTTTTCAATCACATTATAATAAATGCCACACAGCAGACAATTTTCTAACTGTTTAGCACGCAGGTATGCAAAGCAATAAGTATCACCATTTTAATGGGAATTATCAGCAGGAAATGTTGGCTTTTTAACCATCGGCCTGCTGTATTGACTGATACCAATAGTTGGCCAATACAATCGGTGCATCTCTACTCAAAAATGTAGAGAAGTATCAGATGAGTGAAAACCAAGTTGGCTGTGCTTATTTTTACACCTAGTCCAGTACTTGGTAGTCAATTTCAATGGCAGTTAACATTTCAGCAGGACCTATTTGTTTCCATTCATTTTGGAAAAGCCCTTTGCTGTTTGTGGTGTTTTTACTGAAGTACAGCTGCTCCACATGGTTTGCACTGAGGCTTGTTTTCTTTTGCATCAAACATGCCGGTGCATTTTTCCCCAAACATAAAAGGCAATTGTAGCAAAGATATACTGACATTTTCATCCTGTTTTTATTTGCTAACGAACCTCTGAATGAGCCAATGAACCTCTGGGTTGAGAAATCAAAAAGATGGATGATTATCATTATCATTTAATAATAATAAAAAAAAGCAATCATCCAGATGTGTAATTGTTTACACTTATTCCCAAAGATTAAATAATAGGGACTTATGTTGTTTTTTAAACAGACGTAAAAAATATTTGAGATTTTGTTTTGTACCTACTGCTTGTAATCCAGTGCTTGTAGTTATTTTTAATGCTTTAACATTGCGTATTTGCTTGTCTTTGTCCCAAATTCAAAGCTAGCTTCCCTACTGAAGACCAAAAAGTACTGTGCATGAGAGAAAAAAATTAAACTTACCGAGTTTTTCCACGAGTTTTAGCATGACCCCACCAATGTGAATCTCGCCTGTGACCCGCAGCGAGACGTCCCTATGGAGGTCGGTCACGTGCATCTTCAATTCCCAAGTGCCGTCAGCATAGCAGCCATCGGGCATCCGTATACCGTCCAGCGCCATCCTTGCAAGAAAAATACAGTTTGTGCTTTAATTCTTATTACGAAGAGCGAGATTTTCATCATATACTACAAATAAGGTCTTTGCTTTAAGAAAACTTCTCGGCTGGCAGTTGAGAACCGTAACGAATATTTTTTAAAAATAAATAATAAAAAATCATTTAACAGGGGTTTTCTGAATATTAATGTCTCTATCTCTCTCTCACACACACACACACACACAGTTCTTTCGACTAAAATGCAATTGGCTAACATGTACTTGTTTATCATTATAGGACAGAATCGTACGCAATTAAATCCAAATAAACATCCTGGCCTAGCGAGATATGAATACGAATGTAACTTCCAAAGTCAATGAAACAATGTCTCCGTCGATGTAGTACGCGATCACCTGCTGTAGTTAACGGAAAGTGCATTTTAGTCATTATAAAGATGATTACGTAAGTAGCTCAAATCTCAATCTGCTCCCTGGAATACGAACTTAGTGCGGGTGCTTTTCATAATAATAACTATAATAATAAAACGAGTATTATTCTTTAGAAAACAATGTTTGCCTCTACTGATCTTTAAAAGCCAGCTCATCTCAAGTTAGGAATCTAGTAAATGAGCCAAACCTTGCCCCGTTCGAGCAGCCATGGAGTGCGCAGTTTACAGTTAGGATTGTTTCTCCCTCTCAAAAACGAATATTATTTAGAACGTCCACTCACCTTCCTGAATACAAAAGTCCTCCTGTTTCTAATTCTATAAGTGGTCTTTTTTATATGAACTACTTGTTTTGTCCGAAGGAAATTTTCAAAAACCCCTGTAAGTGAAATATCCCGAACTGTCTCCCGAGGGTTTCACTAATGGAGTCCAGCCGTCTCGCTTTCACCCTCCCTTTTTCCAACAGATAACGTCACTCGTTTCTCCAATCCCACTTTTTCCTTTTGGTTAAGAATCTAAACTTGGAAATTTTACGACAGCCGCCTTAAGACATTTTTGCATAATGAAATCTGCTGAGTGTTTACGCCATACTCGGGAGATTTAAATTTGTCTGCGGCTAAGATTTTTGTTTATTAAATGGGTTTTTGCCAGTGTTCTCAAAATGAATAATTGCTTGTCTCACCATATTAGTTTTGGGACCTTAATGGGTTTGTCGAAACTCCATTAGGTAAAAACTAAAAATCACAAGTTAAAAGTAATCATAGTGCATATTTCTCGCCGACGATACCTTTTATGGAAATAGTGCCGGGCTTGTGGGACTACATCCGGGGACCGGTGTGGGGTCTTGGAATTTATTGGTGGTTCATTTACAAAATCTGTTAGAAGTACTTAACGTTTAGTAAGTGTATGTATTGTTTGACAATTAACACGACGGACAAAATTCTGATTGTAATTTTAATTACAGAAGGCTATTGTTTTTTTTGACAACCATATTCATTTTATCGCATGTTATTAATAAATCGTAAAATGTTACACATAATAGGCCTACTTGTCCTTTGCCATTGGTTTAACCCGTCCATTTAGTTTTCACTATCCTTTTTGCTATGCCCGTTTTCACCCGTTATACCAATGGTTATAATGCTTAAAACGGGATGAAAAAGAGAAATTTGACGTACATCAGACCTAAACCAATTCAGTTCATAAGCAAGATTCTAGAGTGACGTGTAACAAAAAAGAAGAGATGAATTAATGGTGCTGTATCTCTTCAAAAGAGTACCAGACACGTATGCAAACAAAGAATCTCTTCTGGTGGCTTTAATGATAATTTGTATATTGCGCCGAATATTATAGTATGCTGATGCGTTACAGGTTGATGATGTAGCACCGTAGGTACTCCTGTAGGGTTGGAATTCTGCCCCAGGCTGTGTTTGGAGTTGGCATGTTCTCTGGTTTCCTTCCACAGTCCAAAAATGTGGTTATGCAAACTGGCGTCTATAAATGCCCTATAGGGGGTGAGTACATGTGTCCCCTGCAACTGGAATCCTATCCAAGATGTCCCCTGCCTGGTGCCCTATGACCCTATACCAGATTAGTGTTTGCGGAGGATGAATGGGTAACACATGGGTGCAGCACCTGAAAATAGAAGAAAAAACTTAACAATGTCTCTGAAACAAGGATTTTATACTGCTGATAAAAATGAAAGAAGCTAAATTATTTGTTAGGGGGAGAAATACAAAAACAAAAAACACTAATGTAATTATTGTTGCATATAAATATCTGTCTGCATGTGTTAAAATATTAATGTATCATTCTGGATCAATGAAAATTTAATATAGTTCAGTGTTTATAGGTTTAGATTTGATTCACTCTGGTTGATTGGAGACTGGGAGATTGTAAACTTGACCATAATTTTTAAGAGAGGGGACATTTTTCTCTTTCACCATACTATCCTTTGTTAGTCTTGAACATTTTTCAACTCAGCATTTTTACAGTGTTGTTTTTAAACATAAAGTTGTGTTATTGTAGTGCATCTGTAACTGAACTCAATATTCAATCTATTAACTAAATATGTGTTGATATACATAGTTTTCTATTACATTGATTTGAATTAAACACAGTGTGAATGTGGGAGTCGTTCTTTGTACAGAAAAGTGTAAACAGTGTGAAGCCGATTTGAAGGCATGGTTACTCCTGGTCCTCACCCCTCTAATGCAGGACAAGATCCTACAAAAGAATTCAGCTGCGCACTCTGCATAAAAGCAATTTATATTTCTTTTTACTGTAGCAGTGACAAGAGCTAGTGTCTGGTAAAAGCACCATTGCCTTATATAGGCTGTGTTTAATTAGAGTTTAAACATGGAGTAAGAAGTATTGGTAGACAGTGAAATGAACTCACCAAGTGAATCACAGAGGAAGTATGTGCTGCATTGTGCTGAGTCAAGACCAATAACAATAAAACTAAATTTGACCAAATAAAAGCTGTTACTGTTATTGTACAATGGTGCAATGTGAGCGCCAGCTGTTATAGCATTTCAATAAATCTAAGTCATGGAGAAGTAAAAAAATGTTATAGCTATGTGACTTATTAAATGCTTGACACCTCCATGGCTGTGCATTTCATCTCTGTGGTTCCATCTCTACATGTGTAACTTGAATGCTCTCCTTATGTTTGCATGGTTTTCTGCCTGCAGCCCAAAAAGAGGTGTCTAAATTGCCCATTGTGTGGGACAGGGGCTGATGTGTGGCTCTGTGGGTTAGGACTTAGTATGAATTGTGTTTGTGATTGGTCACTGGTTCAAATCCTGTGACTGTGATGCCGCTGTTGGGCCATTTAGAACACAGGGTGTTGAGCCCTTAATCCCTATTGCTTCAGGGATGTTGGAGGTTGGCCAACCTTGTGCTGTGGCCCAAAAACTTGCTCTCACTTGTAAGTATGTCTGTGTGTCATAGAGAGCAGGATGGGATACGCAAAAAGGAAATTTCCTTGCATTGATGAATAAAGTGTCACTATTGTATGTATGTATGTATGAAGAAGCACTGGTAATCCATCAAGGGCTGCTTCTTGGGATATGCTCCAGGGCTACAAAAATCTCATACCAGAGAAGCTATCCATCCATTTTCTGAAACCACTCAACCTATTTAGGGTTGCGGGGGGTCCGGAGCCTATCCCAGAGGCTATGGGCGCAAGGCAGGAAACAACCCATGATGGGGTACTGACCCATCGCAGGGCACAGTCACACAGGCACACCTATGGGTAATTTGTCAACTCCAGTTAGCCTCAGCAAGTTTTTGGACTGTGGGGGCAAAAATGAAATACCCAGAGGAAACCCCATGACAACACAGGGAGGACATGCAAACTCCACACACATGGAACCCTGGCAGAGACTCAAACCAAGGTCCCAGAAGTGTCAAGCAACAGTGCTTACCACTGCACCACCATGCCACCCAAGAGCAGAGAGAAACCATTATGAAAAATTGATGGATAGAGATGCTACTTTACCTTCTTTGAGAGAATAAAGTAAAAATTAAAATTTAAAATATGACAACCTGGAAATAGGAGTCCACAACAGGGTCACAGTTAGCTTGGTTTGACTGTGGGTGCAGTGAAAAATTTTGGAGCATTTTTGCAAAAATATTGATTTACAATAAACCATATGACATATTTTTCCAAATCGCTATGGTGTAACCAAGTGTATGTTTTAACCTCCTGAGACCCCACCCATTCATTTATGTCCATTGTAGTGGACATGTTTTTGCATCTGTCTTTTCACTGATGTAAGGAAACGTATTTATTCCTGTTGTACACTAAAGAGGACATGCTGTGAAATTAAAAATATTTTTTTTTTTAATAAATCTAAATTGTAAGATGTCTTATTTCCTCCAAAGGCAAAATAACCTAAAACTGAAGGACATGTTTTCCCTTGGGTCTCAGGAGGTTAAATAAAGATAACTTCTAATCATTCACTCTTTATAATTTATAATGTTAACTCATCCTGTTTTATTTGGTTAATTTGTTATCTTATAAATTCATGTATTTGCTTTAATAATAATTAATACTTTATTGATCCCTGTGGGGAAATTGTTTTTATGCCTCCCTCAACTTGCTCTTTGTAGAGTAAGTTGTATGTGAAGGACAGCCACCTGTTGGGGTGCCCAGGGAGCTGGGGGTTAAGGGCCTTGCTCAAGGACCTGCAGATGTGCTGAGGCTAGGTTTGAACTGACAACCTTGTGATTACAGGTACACAGGCTTAGCCCACTGAGCCACACGCTGCCCCCCATACTTTATATTTCTACTCCCTGCATGGATTACCTTACATTTATCTACGTTAAATTTCATCTGCCAGGTATCAGCCCAGTCGCTAATTAAATCCAGATCCCATTGTAGCCTCTCTACTGCTAGAACAGTATCTGCTACACCACCCACCTTGGTGTCGTCTGCAAATTTAACCAGTTTACTGTATGTATTGGCGTCTATCATTAATGTAAATTAGGAACAATAGTGGTCCTAAATTTGAACCCTGTGGTACCCCACTATGAACGAAGGCCCACTGTGACATTGTGCCTCTAATAACTACTCACTGCTTTCAGTCAGTTAACCAGTTGTCGATCCAAGCTGTTACAGTTCCTAAAACCCTTGCAGCTTTGAGCTTAAGCAAATGCCGTTTGTGTGGGACAACAGTAAAGGCCTTCTGGAAATCTAAGTAAATCACATCATAGGTCTTTTTGTGCTCAATTTCTCTTGTAGCTTCCTCAAAGAACTCAAGTAGGTTCGTTAAACAGGATCTACCTCTCCTAAATCCATATTGGCTATCCCTCAGAATGTTATTTGCATCCCAGTAAAGTAACATTTTCACTTGGATTATAGCTTCCATTACCTTTCCAGTTATGCAAGTTAAACTGATTGGCCTATAGTTTGCTGGATTACTTCTATCCCCTTTTTTGAATATGGGNTTGTAGCCTCTCTGCTGCTAGAACAGTATCTGCTACACCACCCACCTTGGTGTCGTCTGCAAATTTAACCAGTTTACTGTATGTATTGGCGTCTATCATTAATGTAAATTAGGAACAATAGTGGTCCTAAATTTGAACCCTGTGGTACCCCACTATGAACGAAGGCCCACTGTGACATTGTGCCTCTAATAACTACTCACTGCTTCCTGTCAGTTAACCAGTTTTCGATCCAAGCTGTTACAGTTCCTAAAACCTTTGCAACTGAAACGATTACGAATGTTTTAAAAAGGTGCTTTTAAAACTATAACAAAAAGTTGCTTGCATTTAGTTTGATAGTATAACCGACATTTTTTATTAATTATTAATGTACATTTATTAATGTACTTTATTATAACTGTATATTTAACATATCTAACTTGGTAGCAATATGTTTGCTTAACCGGCATGATTTTAATAATCATTGCCTTGATAAATGGAAAATATTTGCCATTTTGCTTTACCGATATGGATTATTAAATTCGGCTAGCACAGAGTGCCACATGCTGCTGTATTAGTAAATCACGGAAGCGATAAGCACTAAAGCGGGGATCATGAAAGGGACAGCTCAGCAGCCACAACATGTTTTAAAAGAAGAGATATTGTGGATAATCAAGGTAACAAGATGTCTGTAGTGTGATATCGTGCAGCTCTACTAACTATTAAGCTGTTAATAGCAGCTACTTATTCAAACAGTTCTCACAACTTGCAAATGTGGGAAAAAAATCCCGAAGACTTTTGCTAATCAGATCAGCCAATCAAATGTCAGTAGAATGATTGGCAGAGAAGAAAACCTCTCTCT